TGACGTGAACATAGATAAAGATAAAGAAAATGCATTTGAGTGGTATTTAAAATCTGCTGAAGACGGTAATTCTCTTGGACAAAATAATCTTGGATGGTGTTATCAAAATGGTATAAGCACAAATAAGAATGAACAAAAGGCATTCGAATGGTATTTAAAATCCGCTAAAAGTGGTAATTTGAGTGGACAATGTAATGTTGGATGGTGTTATGAAAATGGAATTGGCACAGATAAGGATAAAAAAAAGGCGTTCATGTGGTATTTGAAGTCTGTTGAAGGTGGTAATTCCTATTGGCAAAATAATCTCGGACGGTGCTACCAAAATAGTATAGGTACTGCTAAGAACGAAAAGAAAGCATTTGAATGGTATTTGAAATCTGCTGAAGGTGGCAATTCGAATGGACAATGTAATGTTGGATGGTGCTACGAAAATGGCATAGGTACAGACAGGGATAAAAAAAAGGCATTTGAATGGTATTTTAAATCAGCTAAAGGTGGTAATTCTCGTGGACAATGTAATCTTGGGTGGTGCTTCGAAAATGGTATAGGGACGGTTAAGGATGAAAAAAAGGCATTTGGATGGTATTTGAAATCTAGTGTGGGTGGAGATTCTCGTGGGCAATGTAATCTCGGATGGTGTTATGATAATGGCATAGGTACGGATAAAGATGAAAAGAAGGCATTTGAATGGTATTTGAAATCTAGTGAAGGTGGCAATACATTTGGACAAAATAATCTCGGATGTTGCTACCGAGATGGTATAGGCACAGACAAGGATGAAAAAAAGGCATTTGAATGGTACCTTGAATCAGCTCAAGGTGATAATTCTCGTGGACAATGTAATCTTGGATGGTGTTACAAGAATGGCATAGGTACCGATAAGGATGAAAAAAAAGCATTTGAATGGTATTTGAAATCAGCTAAAGGTGGTAATTCTCGTGGACAATGTAATCTTGGATCCTGCTACAGACATGGCATAGGAACAAATACGGATGATAAAAATGCATTTGAATGGTATTTAAAATCTGCTGAAGGTGGTGATTCACTTGGACAAAAGAATCTTGGATGGTGTTATCAAAATGGTGTAGGCACAAATAAGGATGAAGAAAAAGCATTTAAATGGTATTCGAAATCTGTTGAAAGTCAGTTATTTTCGGTTATTAGTTCATAATCAACTGATGGTTATTTGATTAATAACTTGGACAAAGAATAAAACCATTATACAGTAATATTATTAATTTTCTTTCTAAGTGTAAACGTATTGCATTAAAAGTAGTCAATCTGAGAGAATTTATAACTTGAGAAAACGTACATGTGAACCCGCAAGGTACAGACAAATATTACCTTGGGGAAGGATGCCAATTAAATATCTTACATTACACTCATATAATATTTAGTGAAGAGGTAGTTAAAAGGATATAATACAGTCAGACCCCTAAATGCATTCCCTAAAATGTATGCCCCCATTTATGCCTAAATTCAAATACCTCTCTAAATGCACGTCTAACTAATTTTTTACACGCAATGTACTTAAAGAGATCTGAATGTATAATATCATGTAACCTTAATTTTACTAATAAATTGTAATTTAATGTTCTATATTATGATGGCATATTTTGCAATTATATTAAAATGTAGAAATATACAACTTTAAATATTGCATTATGTTACATATTACACTTGATCAAATATACGAAACTATAATCAAGTATGGAAATTTTATGTGATATTTTAAAAATTAAAATAAATTACCATCCAATTGCATATCCATCCCCTCAAAAATCACTGTCAGCGGTCCTTTTCAATAATATCTTTAAAACTATTAATCACTTTAAAGTGATGACCCAATTTTCTCAACATCATCAGATAGCAAATTTCATGTCAGAATGCCATCCTGGCATGTCAATGGCTATCATCACCCATCAGACAATTCACAAATCCTGGAAATTTCCGACAACCTTGCTCGTATTTTTCATCTACAATTTGTATGCATAATATAAGTGGCATGCCTTATAACTATTTTATTTTTAGGCATGCTGTGTTGGCATGTCACTCACCCCATAGATATGCTATGTTCAACATTTACATATAAAATTGAAAATATATCAGTCAAATATGTTTCACACGGTTCGATTAGAGTGAAGATTAAATTACCTGAACGTATCCTTGCTAGGAATTTTAATTCAATTGCGTTTTGAAAAATGATAGCAAATATATAGTGTATACAGTATATATGTCGTAAGTGGGAATTTTTAAGATTAAGGTTGGGATTTTTAGTATAATTATTTCGTTCTAATCTAAGTGGATTCTGAACCTATTATGATTCCATTCCCATTTACAACATATATAATAAATTACATGATTATAACTTTTTTGTCATAATAAAGTTATATAGGTCGAGAACAAATTAATAAAGTAGTACTTATGAATAATTGCATACCACTAAGAAGATAGCTATGATTCATCTCCTCTGTAACAATTGCAGGTATAATAGGATGATACTGTAGAGTCTTTTACATGGTTAAGGTTAATTAGGATTTCTTCTCCCACGAGAATAAAATATGTAAAAAAAAATAACGATAAAGAATTTAATTATTAGAATTAACTTAATAATATAGAAAGACTTACAGTTCCAAACCATTAAATCGAATTCTAATTATTTAATTGAATTGTAGAATAGTTGGCACTTTATTACAGTAGCGAAAAGAAGATAAATTATTAACATCAACATTTGCTTTTGTAGGATCAAAAAGTTCTATTATACACATTTTGAAAATATTCCTATTAAAATTATTATTATATATTAAATTATTAATGAAATTCCTACCTCCTTATTAGAATTTTATCTCTTTCTTGTACTAGAGCCACAACACTTGTCTTAGATAATAGTTTTCTTTTAATAATGACATACAAAGATTCTGCCGAGTTATGATTTACTTCCATAAGTTCTCTTATTTTGAAGTGATCGAACTAAGAGTAAGAAATGATGATCGATCACACAATAATCAATTACTCAATCTTATTGTTCACTAAATTTTTTGTTAATACGTTCTATCGTGAGAAAAATTGAATACATTAATCATTAAATTCATTTCAGAACACCATTCTATTCTAAAGATATGGAGTATTCTTTCGTGATCGATCATATGAAAATCAAAAAAATTTTGATCGATCACCATCTCTACTTAGAGCAATAATAACTGGAATACCTTTAATATTATGCAATATAAAATTAATAAAAATCAAATCATCATAATATATTTAACCAACCTTGTCATTAGATAGGCTTTCTCATATCGTTATATCTTTTATAATAAATAATAATATCTAAGATAGAATTGTGAAAAGCAAGTACTTCAACAATAGCTTGACCTTATCATTCAATATTTATAATGAATTAGCACTAGAATATTTACGTATGGTAAGATAATGCAGTGTATATTTATTGCTTTTGTAAAATTCATCTCTTCCTTTTTTTGGTAATATCTAAAGTTGTAATCAAATAAATTACCTTGTTTTTAGGCATTTATATTATTTCAATCTTAGAGAGTAATCGTCACACCCATTCGGTAAAGTATTAAAGAAACCGATTTTCCACTGTTTTGTTCATTCTAAAAAATTTCAATGAATTTTTCGATTAATTAATGGATCACATAACATCCAAACACATACGTATTAATATTCACTTTCAGCCAAATCAATTGCAGAAATTTAAAATTTATGTGCTCCCGGAAACAGCAAACAATATTGCTTGCGGCTAAGCGCTGGCCGGTGGTTTCCCGCCTGCATAATACAGGCCGGCCGTCGGTATACGCATGTGATCTTGGTAACCACGTATTTGGGTCAGTACACAGCTTCGGTTAAAAATATAATACAGTATATAGATAAAAATATACTGCGTACAAAATTGTACAAAATTTTATCATGCTAATGCGGGCTAAAAAATTTACTGTGAATAAATCACATATTTAGAAATATGATCCGGTAAAAAATCTCGACTTTGATCAAAATGTCTCTAAACCTCGTTTTGCTGTGTACTAACCCATTTGGGGAATGGACCAGGTTTTCCTAGTCCATTCCCCATTTATGATCGGGTGGGTCGTGAATTGTGGTCTGCAACTGAGTTTGCATAGGACCATGTTGCGAATTGCCTTTATTCTCACAGCGATCCTTATCGAGTTAGCGGTTACTGTTTATGGCAGGATATTGAAATCATACTCACCTGAGGTTGCTTGATTGAACTTGTTTCTGTCACTGGCTTCAGGGGTATATTCCCCTGCTTAGCATCTTTTCGATTTGTCGACTCGAATAATTATCTTTCCATGTACTATGCCGGGAATGGTCTGATCGCGAATTTTTACTGCTACCACTATTCTGCCTCTTTTGAAATTATATATAGAGATATAAATCAATAATTACCACACCACTTTTAAACATGACGAAATATTTTAACGATGAAATACAAGGGAAAATAAAAATAGTGTCTAAAAATTTAAACTCGGAGATTCATTTATTTTATTTTCAAATCTCCTCTTTTTAATTTTTGTGTAACAATATTTCTATTTAAATAGTTTATTTATGTAAAAAAAAAACATTCTTTCTTTTTCGATTTTCACTTTTCCTTTGTTATACGGTAGGTAATATATTTGATTAACTAGGTAATGATTTCGGGAACCACGCTAAAAAAACAATAATAATAAAGCGCTTTTGACATCACAAATAAAAACCACGTTAAAAAAAAAATCAAAACAAAGCGCCTATGACATCACAAAAGCGTAACATATATCAAGCCCCTTTATTAAGTTTAAAATAATACATCTATTTAATAATATAATTTAACAAAAAAAACTATATATTTACGCCTTTTTTTTTTTTTTTTGAATTATGTAGAAAAAATGGCACGAAAAAAAAACTTCAAGAAATGCAATGTGGATATACCTCCAGAAATCTGGTTAAACATATACAGTTATTTTAGTTGGTATCATAAGAAAAAATTCAGCATGTTAAATCGAACGATATATTTAAAAGGATTCAAGCCTTTGTTTGATAAGAGACGAAGAGTTGTTAAAGATGAGCATGTGTTCATGGATAGATACGGGAGGATTTACGATATCGTTGAGAAATTAGGAAATAAAAAAGTCGTTGTGAAGAGAACTCATCCACCGCTGATGAACCCGGCCAAGCCTTTTGAACGACAAATAAATTATGGGTACAACACCATATCTAAAGATTGCATGTGGAAAATTAATACCAGGCATTTTTTACAGAGTCAGAAAGGATAAAGTTGTTAATCTCGAGGTTGATAAACGATGTCAATATTTCAAAACTAAAATGGAACATATAAAACAAAAGTATTGTAATGTTAGGAAAAAACAAATCACTTGAATTTGAATCAGATTATATATAAACAGGTAGAAAAAAAATTTAGGCAGTTTAGCTGTATTTGTGTTTCCATTAATGCTAAATAAATTCCTATTATTGCTAATTTTGAAACAACGTAAAATAATGTTAGTAAATAAAAACTTGTTTGAATTCAAATTTTAAAATTTTAAGAAAAATGAACATAAAATTTGGAAAGTGGTGCTAATTGTAATTCTAAAACTGTATGTAAAATATCAAAAGAAAATATTCAGAAACTTGGATGCAGGGAATAGCTATTTTTCTCATGTGATAAATTGCGCTATAAACTTTCATCGTGTGATTGTAAGTTGTTTAAAGAAATATATGAGAAAACAAAGACTTTAAAATTTAAAAGGTATTACCCTTCAAATCTATATTCAAACCTCTTATTGAGAGAAGCGGCTAAGATGAATTCTAATACATCATTGATATTATTAGAATGTAATTATGTAAAAAATATTTACTTTAAAGGACATGATTTAGTAAATATATATAATGATGAAGATTCGGTTTATAAAATATTTGAAATATATTTGTGGTAAAACATAATATTAATATATAATAAATCAAATGATTATGTAGAAAATCTAACAATTTATTTTTTCGAATGAAATATAAAGTTTCATGTTAGTTTTAATAAACTTTGTATTATTTTATAAATAAAAGAAAGATAGATTTTTACAGATAATCATGATAGTTCCAATGCAAACTAATTTCATCTTAAGTGCAATTTAACACAACCTACCTTACTTTTAACCATGTATTTTGGTTGACGAAATAGAGTAAGTTTTGTAATAGATTTTTTTTTTTACAGTTGAGATTATAATAGTTTTACACCTTTTTTAAATTTTTTGCTAACAAATAAAAATTCTCAAAATTCCTCTTTAATTCTCAGTTTTCTAATATTGTATCTAGTTATATACAAAAATTGGCCATATATTTGGCCAAATAAAATAGGGAATTTCGTATTTTTATTTTTGCTATTCGTAACCTATACAAATTAAAGTTTTTTTTGAACTTTGAGCGATGATATCTCGATAGCAACCAAGTCAAATTCGATAAAGTTTTTTTTATTTGAATTTTATGTATTATTAGAATTCAAATAAAAAATGTTCATTGAAATTTGCCCGGAGGTTGTCGAGATATCTTCGCTCAAAGTCTTAAAAAACCTAGCCCATCTATCAAATTTTATTCTTTGAACGATGATGACACTCACAAAGCCAAATTCAATGAACTTTTTTTTGTTTAAATTTTAAGAATCTGTAGAATTCAAATAAAAAAAAGCTCATTGAATTTGGCTTTGTGAGTGTTGAGATATCATCGTTTAAAGAATAAAAAATTGAGTTTTGATAGACGGGCTAGGTTTTTTAAGACTTTGAGCGAAGATATCTCGACAACCTCCAGGCAAATTTCAATGAACGTTTTTTTATTTGAATTCTAATAATGCATAGAATTCAAATAAAAAAAAAAACTTTAACGAATTTGATTTGATGGTTATCGAGATATCTTTATTCAAAGTTAAAAAAATAAACCAAAAAAAAAAAAAAAAAAATTCAAGAGTGGGTTAAAAAATAAGAAAAAGAAAGACAACTTTAAAAAAATTGGTTTAGAAAGAAAAAAAAAAAAAAAAAAAAAAAAAAAAAAAACCCCCTTTCCTATTTTTTCCGACGCTCTATTTTTTTAATATCCTATTTTTTCGACGTCCCATTTTTTTTTAACGTCCTATTTTTTTCAATTTGCTGTTTTGTTAGAGAATTTAATTCCAAATGAAACTAACGATACTAAAAACAAATGATTCTAATAATTTATAAAAAATCAAATTCTTTTTAATAGATCACACTAATTAAATATGATATTTAGTCTTATTGTAATATATATTAGTCATCTAATTTTATTAAATTACATATCTGATATATCTGTTACTGAATCTTATTACCGAAATCTATAACTTATTCGGTTAATTTTTATCAGGCGTTTCAGGAATTATGATAATAGCTGTAAAATTTCTAACTTAGCTTTTGTAACCCGACCAGGTTATAAGAACCAAAAAATTAATTTTATATAGTCTAAAATTAAAAATTTATAAATTTAATCTAAAAAAATTTAAATTTTTAAACCTAAATTCTTGCCTGAAGTAAAGACTATATAGATTCGATTCTATCAGTCGGTTCGGCCTGTGGAGGTGCATTTGTGCAAAGTTCTATATTACAATAAAAAGAAAGATTTCTGAGTCCCATCCAAATTTTATTTAATAAACAATAAATCTTATCTTGTTTAATTATTTTATCTAAGGCATATAAATATTATAAGAACAGACAGTTGAATTGACCTTCTAAAGTAGCAAACATTTCAAGAAATAGGAGAAAAACAGAAGATCTTACAACTATCAATAGATGAGAATGAAAATTTAATCAAAATTTGGAAGATGGCGAATATTAAAAAAAGTGATTCTGAACAAATAATTAAATTTATATCTCTTTCCAACTTAATTTTTAATGTGATAAGAATCTAATATTTATTATCCTCTTTATATACAAATTCTCAACTAATGATTAATTTATTCAAATTTGAGTTTCAATACCGAAGATTAAAACATCAATAACTAAAATATAGGGTTTAGTAATACGTATATCATATTTTATAGCAATAATACAAATACAAATTATTATAACATTATGATATTTTGCAGTTATTAGCTTTATTAATGTGTTTTATAATGGATTTCGCATTATTGATGTATTAACTAGGAGATTTCGCTATTAGCAACCCTACCTTTCATAGAATAATCTTCTTATTATTTGTTGATTATACGTATAAAATTTATATATTTGATAATCAACTAATAAAGTTGCATGCACAAATTATAAATAATATAATGCAGTATATATAGTGAAGAAATAAAAATGTCCAAACTTAATATTAGGCCAGGCAAAGTTAATTTTTCGGTTCTCATAACCCGGCCGGGTCATTGAGTCCAGGAAGAAGAATTTAAATTATGAGGCGCAGTATTAAATTGACCAAAGGTCTATTTATTATTATTTTATTGTATAATAAAACTCGTGTAACAGATATATTTTTTTTTCTAGAAATAAACTAGCAATAAAATTAACAATCGTCGTTATCATGTGTTTATCATCCCAATCTGTACAATCTATATAAATTATGATTTTCCTCACCATTACTGCATTACGTGATTAGAATCTACTGTTATTAGTTTTATTTGTTAAAGTTTAAATCGCAAAAAACAATTAATTACACCTTTTTTTATAAAAATATTGAAAAGTTGATGTAAATTTATTCTTTTACTATACTTTTAAGATTCATTAATTTCCTCCATGTTATTTCGAGTTCTATGTATCTTTCTTCTGATCTATTGGTTATCTGTGACTTGTATCGTCTCGGGTGAAGTAACCTTCACTCGTAGAGATATATATCTCCCTTCTCGTTTCTTTTACTTTAAAGATTCTCAGGTATGTATATTCTTGGATCTACCGAAATATTTTAATAATAATTCAAATATTAATTCTCTATCTTCAATTTGATACTCAGAACATTCTTTTCTTAGACAACAAAAATAATGATGTCTATCGATCTGATCGATCCAAACGGTTTGATAAACAAGTCATTGATTGGAAGCGTGTTGATGTTCCTGAAAATCAAGCTTATTCTTTGATTCCGCATCCCTTTGATAATAATAAAGTATGTTATATTCATTGGTTAGTTTGCTCTTATTCTTATTCGGTTAAAAAAATATAATCTTTTATAAATTTATTTTGTAGGCTTATATTTTAACTAAAGGTACAACTCATTATAAAACGAATGACCAAGGTCTTACCTGGGAATCATTTAGTGTTCCTTATCAACCTTCAAGCAAGGGTGAAGTTCTTTCTTTCAATGCAAAAAGAATTAATCAAATATTATTTAGAGTAACAAATTGCGATAAAGATTGCGTTGATGAGGTATTTTATATATTCGTTTATTTATTTATTCATTCATTCATTTACTTATAATTTACATAAAAATCAAGCTTACTTATTTAATTATGCGAAATCTATATTTTATTAGGTTTACTACACCAAAGATGAATTTAAAACTACTGATAAAATATCGGTAGAAAATATCGGAAAATGTTTATGGGGTGTTTCTACAAAAGATTTTTCTGGTGCTCCTGAAAATTCGATTTTCTGTATAAATTCGGAAAATAAAATAATCGAATCTGATGATTTTTTCTCTAATAAAAAGATTGTAAAATTTGGTGATAATGAAATAACTGGTGTAATGGGTCTTGCTCCTGTGAATAAATATTTAGTTGCTGTTGTATCAAATATAGACAATTCTCAATTGGAATTATATGTAACAACTGATGGTAATGAATGGAAACAAGCTCAATTTCCTTATGAATCAAGGATGCATGAAGAAGAAACTTCTTATACTATTCTTGAATCTCCTGTAAATAATTTGGTCATTGATGTCCTTTCTACTGGTTCTGCTAATTCTGGAACTTTATTCTCTTCAAATTCGGACGGTTCTTATTTTATTAATCGTTTAAATCATACAAATAGAAATATTGATGGTTTTGTCGATTTTGAAAAAGATCAAAGCGTCAATGGTATTCTGTTAGCAAATATTGTGCATAATTGGAAAGAGGTTGATGATGGAAGTGCATTAAAAGAATTAAAATCAATGATAACTTTTGATAATGGTATTTCTTGGAATTATATAGAACCTCCTAAAAAAAATTTAAATAATAAGAACTTTGATTGTAATATAAATGATTGGAAAACTGGCGAATGTTCTTTACATCTTCATTCTGTCACAACCGCTAATTATTTTGGTTTTGTATATTCTTCTCGATCAACTGCTGGTTTTCTTATGGGTGTTGGTAACGTTGGTTCACATCTCTTGTCATATGATGATTGTGACACTTTTCTATCAACTGACGGTGGAATTACATGGACTGTTGTTGCTCGTGGACCTCATCAATATGAATTCGGTGATATGGGCTCATTAATTGTTATGATAGATGACATAAATCCTACTAATTATATTTTATATAGCTCTGATTATGGACGTACATGGTATGAATTATGTGTTTCTGTTTTAGTTGACCAAGTTATATATATTAATAATATATATATATTGTTCATTGTAGGGAAAAGCTTGTTTTGGATGCTAATATTAAAGTGAAATTGCTTACATCGCATCCTGATTCATCATTCCAAGAATTTATTGTTATAGGTTCATTTGCTCGAGATAATGGTAGAACGCATACATATAGTTATCTCATTGATTTTAGCAAACTACACAATAAACAATGTACTAAGGGTGACTTTGAAGAATGGACTGCAAGAAAAATTGATGGTAAAGAATGTTTAATGGGCTATAAGGTTAGTAATATATATATTATTTAATCGATATTTTTATTTATAAATGGGGTCATTTATTTATATTGTTTTATTTTTTCATTAATAGACTACATATAGACGTCGAAAGGCTGATGCTAAATGTTATGTCGGAGATGATGATAATCATTCTCATGAAAAAAAAGAGGATATTTGTGATTGTACTGATGAAGATTTCGAATGGTAAATTCATTTTAATTCTAATTAATTTGTTAATTGATAGTTCGATTTAACGTTTTGCTACATTGTTTAAAATTACTTTCATTATAGTGATCAAAATTTCATTTATGATTCAATTATGAAAAAATGTGTTGCAAATGGTCCTGAGTCTGTGCCTCCGGGAACATGTAAACAAGTGGGTGATACTTATAAAGGGTCTTCAGGATATCGATTAATTCCTGGAAATAGATGTAAACTAAATAGTGATACTGCATGGAAGACTGAACCTGTTGAAAAGTCTTGCACTGATTGTGAATATTCGTGTTTTATAGATTTCATTATTACTTTTTAAACATCATTTGTTTCAATTTTTAAAATTTTATTCATTTAATTTAGATCAATTGCCTTTTGGTGAGATATCTCATAGTACACATGAAATTGAATTTGAAGACTTTTATTATTTCAAAAATTCAAAGGTTTGCCTAATTATTTAATGCTGTAATTCTTGACTACGTTAATAATTTTGTTTTCTGCTGAAAATTATACCAGGTTATATTGGCAAAAACGCTTCAGGGGAATGTCTATCGAAGTGATGATGAAGGCACTAATTGGAAAAATTTGGAGTTAGCAAATGCAGGAAAAATTATTTTTATATTTATGCATGATCAAAGTAGCGATAAGGTTACTCATCTTATTTATATTTCATTTGAAATTATATCAAGATAGTATTTGTCATTTTTAATAATAATATAATAATTTATAATGTTTCATATCATCATTGATTTAGGCATATTTATTTTCAGAATCTAACTTATGGTATACAGGAAATCAGGGTGCTAGCTTCGAAAAGATAGAACTGCCTCTACCTCCCAATAATCTTGGCCTTCCTCTCCTTGATTTTCATCCTACGGAATTTGACTGGCTTTTATATATGGGAGGCACTACTTGTCCAAAATGCCATACCGAAGTACATTTTAGTGATAATAATGGGAAATCATGGAAAAAGATTGATACTTGGGCGGATAAGTGTATATTTGCACGAGATAAAAATTTTGAAAAGAGAGATAAAAAGGACATTTTTTGTTCATCATACAAACACAAGAATGCTAAAGAACAAGATGAATTACAGGGCAGACCTACAAATGATAACCCCTTACAACTTGTATTAATAAAAGATTTTGATTTTACAAAAAAAGAAGTTTTATTCGCTAATGTTGTAGAATTTTTTGTTTTTGATGTGTATATGGCTGTTGCAACGGTATATGTGATTTACTTTATATGCATCAAATATTTTAACCATGTTATCATGCATTTATTTTGAATTCTGTTTTTAACACTTAGGAAAATCGTGGACAATTATATCTGTATACTTCAATGAATGGTGAAGATTTTTCTAAAGTTTCTTTCCCACCTAATCTCGTTGTAGACAATAAGGTTAGACTATTTAAATATTTATTATTTATTATTCATGATGCTTTAGTATTTATTCTTATTACTTTTAATTTTTAGGCATATACAATTTTACAATCAACTACTGGTTCTGTATTTCTTGATGTTGCTAAATCATCACGATTTGGAGAAGAATATGGTTCATTGTTTAAATCCGAATCAGCTGGTGTAAATTATTCTTTAATTCTGGATGATACCAATCGTAATACTGTGGGTAATGTTGATTTTGAAAAAGTCCAAGGCATAGTTGATGGCATAATATTAGCCAACGTTGTTAATAATACCCAAAAATTGAACGGAGAAGTGAAAGAAATAATTACCAAAATTAGTTTTGATGATGGTAAGAAATAAGTATTAAAAATATAAATTTAATAAAAACTGAGATACATTAAAACTGAAAATTTATTAATTTAGGATCTACATGGGAACGATTGAAAATTGAAAATTGTCGGGTACGGATAATTTATTGTTTTATTTGAAATATTTAATCAACATATATTGATATGTGATTCATAGGGGGAGAGGTGTTATCTCAACTTGCATGGTAGAACTACTATTCATAGACCAGGTGGAGTCTTCAGCTCATCTTCTGCGATTGGTCTCTTAATGGGTGTTGGAAATGTAGGCTCAAGTTTAAAACCATACTCTGAATCTGATACATTTATGAGTCGTGACGCCGGGCGTACCTGGTCAAAAATTCGTAATGGCGAAAGCTTGTACGCATTTGGTGACCAAGGTTCAATTATGGTAGTGGTCGATGATGAAACTTCAACTAAATTATTACTGTAAATATATATTACATTTTTTGAAATGTCATTATTATTAATTTTTTGAGCTAATGTTAACGTTATTTCAAATTTTAGGTATAGCTCGAATTACGGGAAATCGTGGAATAGATATCAATTCTCTGACACCCCTGTTCGCATAACTCAATTAACAACTGCATCTAATCAATCTACTATGAAATTCATCATAAGAGGAATAAACAATAATCAAAAATGGGTTTTAATTACTGTTGACTTTTCGTCATTATTGCCGAAAAAATGTATTAATCTGATATTAAAAATATATACTTGTATCACTTTATAATTATGAAAGATTTCGTCAAACTAATTTATTTATAAAATTTTAGGTGAAATAATTAATTCTGATAGTATTAAGAGCGATTTTGAAGTATTTGACCCGATGGTCTATTCTAAAAATAAATGCTTCTTGGGCGAAAAGGTAACTAAATTCATGAAATACTGTATCATTTCTGATTGGCATCATATTTTTCTTTCACTAAAATTTTATTGACATATCATTTATCATGTAACGTTGAATAAACTTGACTTTTAGGTGACTTATTTACGTCGCAAAATCGATCGAAAATGTAAAATTCTTGAAGATCTTCAGGAATATGAAAAGAAAGAAAAATGTGAATGTAATGAATACGATTTTGAATGGTTTGTTTATATTGTTTATATTATAGCCATTTTTAAATTTTAGTTTAATAATATTAAATTTCAATGATGATTTCATTTAGTGATGTTGGTTATTGGCGCGAAGATGGCAAATGCAAATTACTTGGATATGATCATCAACGCCCTGACGTGTGTGATAACAAATATCTTGCCAAATCTGGATATCGCAAGATTTCTAAGTCAAAATGTGAAGGAGGAAAAGATCTAACGAAAGATATATATAAAAGCTGTAATGATACAGGTATATGTTTATAACAAATTTTAAACCGAAGTTATTAAAATATATAAAATATATTAATTTATTTGTTTATTCTTAGTTAATATTGATATTATTACGAATTTGGTATTTATTTAACTTAATTTAAATTATATGTCGTTATTACAAGTCTATAAAACTAACATTTTTTTTAGACATCCTTTGATTCTCAAATTACAGATTACTTTTATTTCATAAATTCAAACACAACTCTTATTCGTGTAAATAAACAAGTTTGGAAGAGTACCGACCAGGGAAATTCTTGGGAACCCATTGATGGGCTTGACAATGTTCTTGCAATGATCCAAAATCCCTATTTTAATAATTATGTATGTGAGCCAAGGCTTTTTCATTATTAAACATTTATGTATCATTAAACTTAAGTGATTCCATTCGTTTTCGTTCTTTAGGCATATTTTATAAAACTTTCTGACACTTTATATTATACAACTGATTCTGCTGAAACTATCAATACTATGAGTTTAAAATTAAATCCTAATGTTCTTGGTATACCAGTTCTCGATTTTCATCCAAAATATCCTGATAGGCTTATTTATACAGCAAGTGAAGGATGTGAAAGTATATTCTCCACTAACTGCCACTCAGTTGTACGTATTTTTTTATAATTATGTATAAGTTTCTAAAGTTTTTAATAATATATATATCTCATACGATTTGTTTAGGCTTATTATACTAAAAATCATGGTAAACACTGGTCCGAGCTGGATAAATATTCTAGAATTTGCACATGGGGACGTGATAGCAAATTTACTATCGATGTGAATTTTATATTTTGTGAATCTTATCGTGATAAAACTGGATCACAAAGATCATTTTACAATAATCCACTTCAACTTTGGTCAACAAGAGATTTTGGAGCAAATAAACATATACTATTTGATAATATTAACGGATTTATTACATTTGAGAATTTTATGGTAGTTGCAGAGGTACTGAATGTAATTTTAATTTGATAAAATTTATATGTTTTTGTTTTCAAGTTGAAAAGAGGTCATAAATATGTCATACCCCATATTGGTTGAAATATTTAGAGCTAGGTTTGGTGGATTTAATTTTGATCAAAATTCCCATCTGTGACAATTTATTTCAATGATTTACCAATATGATAGGAGTATGGCTTTGGCAAACTTTTCTTTTTAATAATGTTAATAATGTTTCGTTTGCTCATTTATCAAATTATAGTTATTGTCTAATCATAAACTTCAACTTTGGGCTTCTATGGATGGAGAAAAATTTGCAAAAACACAGTATCCACCTTACATGGAAGTGCAAGATGTAAGTGTTATAATATTTAATTGGAACATATGAATAATTAGTTTATATAAAATATTCGATGTAAATAAATAATCCGCATCCGATTATGAAATTTTAGCTTTTAATAATAATATTATTATTATGATTATTTAGGCATATACAATTTTAGAATCTACTACTGGATCAGTCATACTACATGCTACAACTTCCTCTCAATATCATTGGGGAAATATAATGAAATCAAATTACAATGGAACTTATTATTCTCTTTCCCTAAAAAATGTCAATCGTGATGTAAAAGGTTTTGTTGATTTTGAAAAGATGCGAGGAATAGAAGGAATCGCCTTAGCTAATATAGTCAGCAATACTAATGAAATAATCATTGGTGGTTCGGTTAAAAAGCTTCAATCAAGAATTACATTTAATGATGGTAAACGAATAAATTAAGAATAATTTCTGATGTATTAAGCTTTTTCATAAAAATTTGTATCATTGTAAAATTCTAGGTGGCACATGGCAACCGTTAAATCCACCAAAAGTTGATTCAGACAATAGGACGTATGATTGTAATGTAAGTAATTATAATTACCATAATATCTCATATTATTCATTCGTTATTTAACGCATAATTAGCTTAACTGTTATTCCTAAATTTATTAGGGTTGCAAGTTACATCTTCATAGCTATACTGAACGCAAAAATCCTGGAGATTCCTTTAGCTCCTCTTCAGCTGTAGGTTTGATGATTGGTGTAGGCAATGTTGGTGATCATCTTACTCCTTACTTGGATGGTAATACTTTCTTGACCCGAGATGCTGGTATCACATGGACAGAAGTTAGAAAAGGTGCATATATGTACGAATTTGGAGGTCAAGGTTCTGTTTTAGTTTTAGTAGATGATGAAGCACCCACCAATCATATTTTGTATGTCTTGTTTCTTTTAATTAAAATCCTACAATACATATTATTCTAACCTTATTCATTATAATTATTAGATATTCTTTCAATGAGGGTAAATCATGGCAAAAACATTTGTTCACAAACAAACCTATTAGAGTTCATGATATTACAACACATCCTAATGGTACTCAAAATAAATTCCTTTTACGAGGACGTTATCAAGGAAACTCAAATAATGAAGTGGTGGTTTATCTCGACTTCACTCCCAAGTTGCTCAATAAATGTACCAAAAACTTTCTTAAATTGATTCTGATAATCAAATTATTATGTTAATCTCTAATGAAAATGCTCAAATTCTACTTTTTAAATAGGTTTGCTGAATATCAATAACCTTAATGAAAGCGATTTTGACTTATGGAAACCTAAACATCCAGAACATTCAGGACATCAACATGATTGCTTATTCGGCCATGTGGTACATTTCGTATTTCCCTAAATGAATTTATTGGATTTTATTTGATTACTAAAATTTATTCAATATTTTAAAGGCGGAATATTACCGAAGAAACCTTAAACGTGATTGTTATATTGGAGAAGAATTCTCACAATCAAAAGAAATTCTGAAAAATTGTAAATGTGATGAATACGACTTTGAATGGTGAGAAGAAAATATTAACCATTTTAATTTTCATGTTAACCGTTAATATAATTTATTCTAAATTACAATTTTTTTAGTGACTTCAACTATTTTCGAGATAAAAATAAAAATAATAGTTGCACATTGGTTCCTGACACCTCACCTTTAAAATTAACTATTCAAGAAATGTGCGCCAATGGTGCGAAGGTTTGGTACAATGGGTCTGGGTAAGTTTTTTATTATTTTTAAACTTTATCGCTCGCGTTAGGTTTATTAATAAGAAAATTAAATGACTTGTAGATATCGTAAAATTCCTATTTCGACATGCTCTGGTGACGAAGAAGCTTTCTTAGGTAAAGCTAATATGTGCCCTAGTGTTGGTTCTTCTTCCAATAAGTGGATTACCATAATCATAGTACTTATTGTTCTCGGAGCTATTATCGCGTGTTGCATGTATAGGAGACGCAATCGATACTCATATTTATCTCAGGGGTTGGTATTATTTTTATTTTCCAATCAATTGTCAATTGTTTAAATTTATGCATAATAATTATTTTTTTTTAAAAAAAAAAAGACGCATCCGTCTCGGGGATCCTACACAATCATTTTTATCAAATATATTTGAGTCATTTTTGGACATTGTTTCACAAATCCTTTCAAAGATTCCTTTACCAGGTTCGGGTTCGGGTAATAGATATAGATATAGGCCCGTTCCTCAAGATGATCATCAGGAAGTTTTGTTAAATGATTATGATATTGATAATCAAGAGTTATAAAGTTTTTATTTTTTCCTTACTCGTTCTTTTGATTGTAAAAACATCAATCAAATTTGTAATAGTTATTTTATTTGTAATTATAAGTTGAGCAAAAAATATATATATTTGAGATATTCAATTTTTTTTTATCAGTTTGTATTAATGGTGTTAGACGAGACCGATGTCTAAAATCGAAATTAAATCCAACAATGATTCAAATTGACGAAAGTTAAACTCGATGAAAGTCACCTTAATTGAAAATATCTATTGTAACTATCCCACCTACTCGAGTATTAAATTTACGCATAATCTCTTAGTTTTGGCGTGTTAATTAGCGAATATAATGAGCTTTTTACTATGATAGCGCGCAAGTAGTGATCAGAAAAACTTATAACCTAAAGCATATAAAGTTGATAAATAATTCTAATAATTCGGAATAAAGTTGTGCAATACCATAAGTATAGCTCAAATAAACTTATTCTTAATGAGCCACTTATAAAAATATTAGGCAATCAGGTAAATCTGTTATGTAAATGCATCAACGTCTTTCGAATCATTAAATACATTAATTATCTTATTTTACGCAAGGTAAATTGCCTTTAATCCTATTATAATGTCAGACAAATTTAATGCCATTTATTGGTCCTCGTAACATGAAACTTTTTAAATAGACCCGGAGCAATTTATAAAAATTTTTTAATTAACTTTACATGGCCTAATATTAATTTGTTTATACTGTACCCTGATCACTAATCAAGTTCGCAGGATATGAATCATTTATACACTAGTTTTTCATTTCCGCTTATCCCATTGCTACCCAGTATATAAATATTACATATTACATATCACTTTTATTTAATAACATATTTTTTTATTAAATCCTTTATTTGATACTTGTAATTTTTTTATTAATAAAAATTTTCTATGTTTCTTAATTTTTAGATATTAAATCAAGTAGTATAATATACTGTACTAAGATTTTGTATATTATATCGGGTGTTTCTTCTAGAGTAAAAATTAACAATGAAATATTATTTAAGAAAAAATTTCTTGCACATCTTAGTTAATGCATTACTTAATTTCTTATCTTTGATCTAATTTAAATAATATTTAAAAGACATTAATGTAAAATTTTAATTTTTCGATAAAAATTCCCTTAACTTTGTAATCTTGCATATATTTAAGATAAATAATTTGGCATCTGATTTCGATAAAATAAGTGACATTTATTTTTTATTCGTATAACTCCTATTTAGCTTCTTGATTTCAGAATTTCAAGACATAAATAGGATTTTTCTAACCTCTGCTTATTTTCAAAATAAGTTAATTATAAATAGGATTTTTCTAACCTCTGCTTATTTTCAAAATAAGTTAATTTTGGAAGCCCGTATTATTAAAAAAAAAAAAAACTTTTTAATATCCCCAACTGATGAATTATCATCACAAATGATTTCTATACACTTCGGAGAGCTAATTTCTTCTTTTTTTTTATTAGTTTGATACTTCTAATTAATTATCCTATATTATTTCTCACTAGGACGCTTTACATCTCAATACCATCATATGCAAATGAAGGTGATCATGATGTATCGAGTTACCTTCATTATAAGACATACTAAAAATTACAATCTATTTAAAAACAAAATACAATAAACAGATTGTCATTAATATCATTCAACCGCATACAATTTGTCACATATTTTAGGTTGAATGACTGATAATAGTTCAAAATCTCCATTAAAACAAGTAGGGCTAAATAGCTAGAAAAGACTTTTACAATAAAATAAATTAGCTAATAAAACTTTAAATAAAAATAACCGCATGAGAACCAGTGAAAGAAATAGTAAAATTTGTGACTACCGTATTTTCGCGAAATACCGCCCAACTGCGCGATATTTTGAGTATATGCGCGTTATTTAGAGTACGCGCATGAGCGTTCTTTTGAGACAAAGATAAAATTTTCCAAAACCTGTCTATTATTTTGCTAGAACCCCAATGTGGGTGCGCGTCATTCGGGACGCGCGTTATTTTGAAATCATGCATGCTATTTTTAGAGGACACGATTTTCATGCCCATTATTTTTTGCCTTTTTTGGAATCTAATAAAAGTTGTAGAGGAGAGAATTCCGCATTTTTGTCCTCGTGATTATATGATTACTTCTTCGTTTATTACAGTGCTTATAGTCGCGAAGACAAAAATGCGATCTACTGGATCGACTTTAATGTTTTGACCGCCGTTATGACCGGAATTCTCTCCTCTACAACTTTTATTAGTAGTAGAAAAGTTTACTTAGTATAAAATTGATTTATCCTTTGTGAAACGTCTGATTCCAAAAAAGACAAAAAACAATCGTAAATTTCCCCATGACTCACTATCACGAATTAATTAGTAAAACTTTAAAAAAAATTTATTAAAGACAAATTGAAAGTAATAATATTTTTTATATTATACTCGAGGTTTTTAACCATTTTAAACCGGGTATAATTAGAAAAGGTGTATTAATAGTTTCTAATTATAAGAAGATTAGAATAGTTAGTGAGTTGCCCTCGGTATAATTAAAAAGTTTTAGAATTTTATATATTAAGAATAGAGCATAACTATTATTTATAATATGTTACACTCTAGCGTCAGTAACTCAACACGTGGCTCGTAGAAAATCAAAGCTCACTCCGTTTTAACCTACTCCATTTAAAGAAAGAATAAAATGATATTAGCCAATCAGAATGGCTCCGTGAAAATATGTCTTACATACACTTCATTAATTTAGTTAAGAAAATTTTCATTAATATTTAAATTTAGCTAGGCTACCTTGAGACAATTTTTTACCCTAATATCTAGTATGCATTATGAGTCATTTCAGTACTAAAAGTATGCTTTGTAAGTTCTGAAAATAAATGTCCCAATAATTTTTTATATATCAAAAAGTTTTTTTTTATTTACATTAATGTACAAAATTTTAACATTCTAATATATCTTTAAGTATCAAAATTACATGAAATTTTTTTAATCTAAATTACCATTATGAAAACAGAGCTAAAAGACATTAAAAAATTTGTCATTATGAGTTATTTGAAACAGTTTTATAGTTTGTATTTGATATCCTTAATCATTTTGACAAAAAGTATGTCATCGTTTATCTGCCTTTTGCTTTTTATTATTATTATCAACTTCAGCTTGGTTTCCTTTTGACTCGGACTTTATTTTTTCCAACATTTGGTGCCTGGCTCTTTTAACATCGACATCCATTCCTAAAACACTTAATTCATGGGCCATCCTATGGATTCGATTTTCATCAAGAATATCACAATTATTTAAATCTATGCCACTATAAATTTGATCTAATAGATGAGAATCGATAGGAGTTAATCGTTTGTTGCCTATAATAAGTTGAAGATGTTGAGCACCCTTAAATGCTTTAATGAGCAAAAGAAAAATACAAATGAATAAGAATTGAGAATTAACAAAATTATCTGCCATAAATCTGATATTAGAAAAGAAAATCATACCTTTATAATGACTGTATAAACGAAATAAATTATAAAATAAAGGTATATTCGGTAGAACTGGTATTAATGTAAAAGTAGAGGTTAAAGGTACACACAATGCAGAATATATCATATATTTGCGATGATATGGTATTCGTTGTCCAAGCATTTGTTCGAGAGTTGTCATAACTTGTTCGGACTTTACAACCTTCGATGGATATAATAATAGAACCTATTGCATTTGCAATACCAAGTAATTAAATAACTTAACAAAATTACATGATAATAATGGTTGTCGCGGCTAATGCAGAAAACGGCTGATACATGAAAATAGGGTCTCTATAAGATGTAAACTCTACTAAAACTCTTTTATACACTTTTATTATCAAATATGATCCTAATCCTAACCTAACCTAAAAACACCCCATTTTTATATTATAAATAGGCCCAATTTCCATCATTGGCCATTTACGGCATCAGTCGCGACAATAATCATTAATTAACCTACATCATTTCTATTTTTTTCCTCTTCTGTTTCGTATTTCCCCCCCTTTTCATTCTTTTGTATATTATTTTTCACATCAACATTCTCATTCTCATTCGATGGTATATTTTTTTCTACCTCTTCTTTCAATGGTATACTTTTTAAAAAATATTCTTGATGGTCAATTTTGTCCAATAATTGTTGACCAGTAATATACAACCTCCCTTTCCAACTACTCCTTTCAGCGTGACAAAGTTGATCCCATTTTTTAGTAGCCAAGTCAGTAATTTTTGATAAATAAGTTCCTTTTTTAGGTTTTCCATGACAAAAATAAGCGAATTGATTTCTTAGTATAGGTATTGCAAAAATTTTCATTATTTGATCTTGTCGAAAAATTTTGAGAAGGAAGAGGCAGATTTAAAAAATTTATCAAGATTAAACATTCGTCACACTTGCAGATCACATGGATCATACTTACGTCATAAAATCGACAGTGGAAAGATTTTTCACGCGATAGCGATACGTAACACAAAATTTATGTTATTGTTATTTACGATACAACACTACATATTTTCCTTGAAAATGACATGATACCGTAAGGTCATTTTCAAGGCAAAGACCCCATATGATAGTTAATGATATTATCGTTTATTTGGTTCTATTATTTCATTAATCGGTCTTTATAATAGCTAAATATCATATGTCAATGAGGTTATCGTTAAGTTACTACCATTATCGGAAAGTTTCGTGATGGTAGACAATGGAATACGGATACTTTAGGAATAAAATATGAAACGAGTGGTAATACTTTTTTTGTTACCATTGAAGTGATATCCATATCATTTTGCTGGTATTACCTTTTTAAATTTTGTAATATGCATACTTCTAAAATTATACATTATTTATGTGGATATCTTATATATATAATAAAGGGCATACATTGTATACATTACATATCGATGCACAGATATTAATAAAATCTATTTATAAAATATATATTGTATAATTTTTTTATATAAAAATGATCAATGTTTGAAAAAACAGGTGTAAAAATATAAAATATCCAATTTTCTAGACAATTTCAAATCATCCAAAATATTAGAACGACAAATATACTTAGATTACCAAAGTTTTCTAGACAATTCCAAAACATTAGAGCAATTTCTAGACATCCAAAAATATTAGAACGACAAATACACTTAGATTACCCAACCTTTCTAGACAATTTCAAAAACATTAGAACAACAATACATTTTTAATTTATTCAATTTCTAGACAATTTCAAAATCATCCAAAACATTAGAACGACTATACATTTAGATTATTCAATTTTCTAGACAATTATATACCATGTTCACTACAATAATAAAGTCATGTTTCGTCACTTATAAGTCACGTAGCAAGGTAAGCCTTTATTTATATTCATGCATCTTTAAAAAAACAAGTAGGTAGATGTTTCCATATTAATTTCTCGCTGTTTTTTTTTTTTTTCTCAAAAGGTTGAATACTGGAGTCACAAAACTCCAATATCCGTTTCTAAATCAACTCCAATTTTAAATGCGTTAACCGCATCTAGTTCAACAAGAATTTTTAGAAATTGAACATCTTTCTTTATTCAATATAAATATTAATAGATTCCATTTATTACCATAGAATAAAAAAAAACATAGTTCACTTATACATAATGTATCATTCAAACATTCTAATCATTTTAAAAATCTAAGCAAATGTAATAAACATTAAAGCACCTATATGGTATGTAATAAATCCGATATAATTACAGCTGTTTTCAAAAAGATATGGAAAACGATTTCCATATACCCATGTAGGGAATCGAAATTCTGCTTAGTAAAAATTAAAAATCCGATTAGAGGGTCTTGAAAACTGGTAAATAACATGAATTCTCCATGTTATAGTCTTTCCACAAATTTTGTAATAATTCAATCATACATACATAGCTATGGGAATTTCTAATTATTAATTATGAATTGTTAACGATTAAAAACTAAAATTTAATTAATAAGTTAACAATAATTTCTAAGCTAATAATGAATCAATTATTCAATATGATAGAACATCTTCGTAAAAAATGATCTAATTAATAGTTTTTTTTTTAAATTTTGTGATTTTCTATAAAATCATTGATCACATCAATTAAAAGCTGTGATGGAAGTTTCTATCGCTGACATATTTTTACAGGAACTATTATTGATTAATTTTTATCGCTACAAAATCATTTTTATATTAGAGTACATAAAAAATATGGTTTGATTCGCTGATTACACATTCTATTGTTATATAGAAATGATTTATTAAGTTGGGTTTTATAATTTATTGCCATAGCGACATACCACCAGTCTAATAGTCCTATATGCGGAGTTTCGAACTTTGCTTACAAATCATGATTTGTATGTACAATTTGAAACTCCGCATATAAGAGCGACATATCGCGGATAAATTATAAAACCCTATTAAATTAACAATGAGTCGCACCATATCTTTTTTAGTAAAATTTTTTTATAAACAAATACGTATAATTTAGCAAATTTTAATCATGTTTAGTAAAAAAAAAAAAATTTAAATAAATATTACAATCTTTTAGAATTAATTTAAAAAAAAATTTTATTAAATTTGATCGAGTTTTAGTTGTTATTCTTGTTTAAAGTTTTAAAAAAATTTACATAGAAAAAATATGGTGCATTTCTACTGACTCACTCCCAATTAATAATTAGAAATTCCCATTGCTATACATACAATACTTTTAAATTGCTGAGCCATTTTCAATAGTAAAGATTCAACCGTCATTCAAACTACATTTTACATGTCGAGTAGAGGTGCAGGTGAATCATGCCGTAACTTTGCTGCAACGTGCCGTAACTATATTAAATAATTATAAAAAGTTACGGCATATTTGTCGTAACTTTTTATTATTATTTAATATAGTTACGGCATCATTGGGACGATTCACCTGCACCTCTAATGTCGAGTCATCTGCCATTCTACCATTCTGAATGGCAGATCGAATGGCATTATTCGACAGTCAAATATTAGTTGAATGGTAGTATTTAACATGTCCCATTCAGCATGTTGAGCTTTTAATTTTTAAAAGAGGCAATCGCATTCAAATTAACATAGTATTTATTCAGCAGTTAGTATTTAATAGGGCGACCTTAGCTTTGATGACTGTATTTATTTTTATGAACCATACTTATTACAAGATTTGGTATACAATATTTCCATAGGAATATTTAAAAATTCTATTTTTCTGCTGCGTATTTTGTTAATTAAGAAAATCCTTTTCACAGACAAAGTTAGCCCCGGCTAGGTTAAGGTTTGGCTTAATTTATATATTCTTGAACTATTATACAAAAGTGAACAGTTTTACTAATAAAACGCAATGTTCTAATAATTTTCAGAGCTCTGAATTTATTTTAGATATACGCAAAATGTATTTTTTTTTCAATTTTATTTAATTATAATTTTCTATCGCTACCAACTTTTGATTTAATTAAGAAATCAAGACTGATACGTGTCACATAGTGGAAAGGTATGCATGAAGTAATAAAATATGTACATATTAAACAAAAGGCTCTAATATACAAAAAAAAATTTGCTAATATAAATTTTCTTTGTATACAAAAAACTAAAGCCAAAAATGCCTGATTGAAGAAAATTATTATGAAACTAAAAATTGTTATTTTGTGGAAACCGTATGCGAATAGAATTTTTCTAAAAACTCTCTTTATGGAGATGGAATTTTACGCCTTCAGTATTTGCAGAATCGCAATCTTTTTTCAAACTTTTAGCCAACTCAGGAGGACCATTGTAATATACACCCACTTTAGTATTCAAATTTCCTTCTATGCCCGGCAAGTAAAGACCACTCTCAATTGCTTGATTCAATTGGCTAAATATATGTCCAAAATTTGGACTGCCGTAATGCGTTCTGCTTTCCAAATCTGTCAATGGATCATATGAACTAGATACATCATTAATCATAATATTGTTTATAGTGGATTCTCCAAGCTTTGATGTCAGATAAATGTGGAGCTTTAGGAGACCAGCTTCCATTTGGGTTGCTTCTAAAGTTTTTAGTAAGGACTGAAACCATTGAAATGAGCCAATGTCACTACATATCCAAAAGAATTCCACCCTTTTTAATTTCGATAGACGTTTGTTTTGCTGTTGATGCCTAATATTATGATTTAAAAAAAAATAACAAATGTTAGATATATATCAATATATTATATATTTTATATCAAATAATCAACAAAATAGAGATAAGAGTTTTATACCAAATATTTTTGAGGATAGAGACAAAAGAAGTAACACCTATATCATAACCTATCAAAATGGTAATCTCATTTTTAAATACATCCTCAGTAGGAGTACCATAAGGACCATCAATGCGGAGAGTTGGTATAACGGCAGGTACGGTTCGTTTAGAAACAAAATTAAAATTATTAGAATCACATCCAAGCAATTCACCAAGTTTATTAGTGAAATCACCAACTTGACGAATATGAATGGAAATGTAAGGATCATCTGGTGCCGAAGTGATTGTGAAGGGATGCCATTGCCAAGTTGAGATAGCAGGGACATTTAAGAACAAGTACTGGCCAGCCTTATAACGGAAAGAAGGTTTATCAAATTGAATTTCAATTACTTTCAAATGGTGGTCAATAACTTTTGTGATTTTGGTTGGTCGACGAGCACGGATTTCACGTAGGAAACGTTCAAAAAAGTATAAAATACCACCAACTATGGTGAATCTCCAAGAAAAATATCCTTTACATTCACCTTGATCGGTTTTTACAAAACATCCATAACCATGAAAATATAAACAAAACATAAAGAAGAAAGCAAGATGATGGGTGTACCAAAAAGTTTCAAAAGATTGATGACGTATCTCATAATGAGAAGAGGTGTACATTAAAACCATTATAAGTAACATAAAATGGCCAGTAAGTCCAGCCCAAGTAGTATAATTAAGTTGCCAAGTCTGAAACTTGCCAAGCTGTTCCAACTTCCAAAAGTTAATAAAATGAGCAAAAGTATGTACTAAAGTCCAAAAGAGCATAGCATAAGCGGTTTGAAGGTGAAACCAAAGACTTTCATCAAACGGAATAAGTTTATTTAAAAAACTTATAGCACGTAAATATTTTATAATATTTCTGAGAACAGGTAAGAGGATTAGAGCGCCATCGTAAGCGAGGCATAGAGCAGCACCATGAGAAATCCATACAGATAAACCGTTTACATTAAGGTTATCCAAAGATCTGTCATACTTTTGCTTTAGAAAACCAAAAATGAATAAAAAAATATGGGACCCAACCCAAAAAAACCAAAATATAAGACGTTTAAGAGTGAATTCTTTTAACAATTTTGACAAGAAAGGTACAGCCATTTTCGGAAATGATGAATAGGAATTTTTACATGGAATAAAATGGAACAAAAGAAAGGAGAAGGAAAGATCGAATAAATTATAAAATTATTGGTGCTTAATCAAAAAAGCTCTATCAGAGTACGATAGCAAGAAATGAGAGTCGTCAATCAAAATAAGATTGAAAATTGTTATACAAAATTAATTATGTTATTTGTAACAACTTAGAATTACTAATATAGAAAATTAATCCATGTTACAATTAATTTTTTTTTATTACCAATTTTTTAAATATCACTGTTCCGTTTTAATTAACGACTCCTCAAATATCAAATATTTGTATATGCTCATATAAAATATAAATGTGTTATAATATTCAAGAACAAATAAATTTAACAAAATCCCTTTTTACAGATTTGTTTTTTATTCAAGCTACAATTTTCAGCAATTTTATAAAGAGAAAATTTTGTTTGATTGGCTAATCAACAAAAATCCCGACTGGCCAAAATTAAACTTACGTTATCCGTTATTTCCAAAAATTTACATTCTTTTATACCAGATACAGATACTGTAGCATTTCGTAAAACGATTGATTTTTTAATAGTCTTATCTATGTATCTCGCTCATGTGAAGTTCGAAACATTTATTCAAAAGAAAATATTATTTTTTATTAAGAATTTTGTAACTTACTGCCATAGCGATGTATCGCTACCCATTGTCGCATCGTGTGATTTCAGGGCTCCAATATTCAAAATCCACTTATGATTAGTAATTATTATTACTAAGCGGGTTTGAATATTGGAACCCAAAATCACACGACGCCGGGACTTTATATGGACCCGGGTAACGATACATCGCTATGGCGGTAAATTACAAAACCCTTTTATGAATTATTACTCTTTAAAAGTAATAAAAGCATAATATAGTTATTGTATTACATGTTGGTATTGTAGAATCGCTTCTAATAAAAGTTAGTAGAACGCTTGATCCCACTTGATCTACGAAAATTAAGCATCCAAAAAACCATCTTACAAAATTTCGTTATTTTGAATTAAAAATTTTATTGTAAAATACGTAATACTGCACAAAAACCAGTTTATCAATATTTTGTCAATCCGATCATCTATTGAATCTATGGTGTTCTAGGAATTATTCAGCCTTTAAAATAGCTCAGCCTTTAAAATAGCAGTTGATTTTGACGGTATCGTACCTCTGAACTAATCGATGTTCAAATCGGGCCAAAGAGGTTCCAAAAACTTTAACCAATCCCGGAATTTTCGTGACCTCAAAGGTTCATTGGTTCTAAACTTTTATAGAGTAGTGATGCGATCCGTTTGAATCCAAGAGTTCGCAGATCAGTATGGTATAGGTGAGTAGTATAGGACGATTTTCAAATCTATACTATACGGATCTATATATGAACGTTACTTTGAATCCAGATAGTATAAAATTTGTATTACATACGAAATTCGTCACGGAATATGCCTAACGTTAAGGAATTGTGCCATTTCTTTATAGATTCCATATCATTTCCCAGAGCATATTCCGTAGGAATTTGCAGCGAATTCCGTATGTAACGGTAATATGGAATTTTATTTAATACTTCACTATGATCAGTTTATAAAATAAATCAATTATTTTATGGTATTTTTAAATGATAAAATAATTGAACTATTTCATAAATCCGAGATATAAAGCATAAAATAAAACCGTTATTGCATACTTCGTATGCAATAACTATATAATACCGTATAATTCATTTAAATTTGTAAAATTTTTCCATAGGAAGATCTTTATATGAATAAAAAGGATTAAACAATATATATATATATATCGATAATTAATGTAAAATATACGATTTATTTGAGCCAGCTCTATGGATAATCCTGAAGAAGAATTATATGTTGGTCACTGTTATCTCAATGGAGTTGAAAAAGATGAATATAAAGCATTTATTCAATTTGTAAAAGTAGCTGGTATGGGTCATGCTGCTGGAATGTATAGTGTTGGTTTTTGTTATCATCGTGGAATTGGGGTAAAGAAAGATTACCATAAGTCATACATCCATTATCGAAAATCTTTTGAAATGGGTTTATCTGAAGGAACATTTGCTGTTGGGTATTGCTATAAAGAAGGAATCGGAGTCGAAAAAGACGAAAAGAAGGCATCCGAATATTATAAAAAGTCTACAGAGATGGGTAGTACTGAGGGAGCATTTAATGCTGGAGTCGAAAAAGACGAAAAGAAGGCATTCGAGTACTATAAAAAATCTGCGGAGATGGGTAGTGCTGAGGGAGCATTTAATGTTGGATATCTCTATGATGAAGGAATCGGAGTCGAAAAAGACGAAAAGAAGGCATTCGAATATTATAAAAAATCTGCAGAGATGGGTATTACTAAGGGAACATTTGCTGTTGGAGATTGCTATAGTGAAAGAATCGGAGTCGAAAAAGACGAAAAGAAGGCATTCCAATATTATAAAAAATCTGCAGAGATGGGTAGTGCTGAGGGAACATTTAATGCTGGAATTTGCTATAAAGAAGGAATCGGAGTCGAAAAAGACGAAAAGAAGGCATTCGATTATTATAAAAAATCTGCAGAGATGGGTGATGTTAATGGAATGAATAGTGTTGGAAATAGCTATAAAGAAGGAATCGGAGTCGAAAAAGACGAAAAGAAGGCATTCGAATATTACAAAAAATCCGCAGAGATGGGTAGTACTAAGGGAACATTTAATGCTGGAATTTGCTATAAAGAAGGAATCGGAGTCGAAGAAGGCATTCGAATATCATAAAAAATCTGCAGAGATGGGTAGTGCTAAGGGAACATTTAATGTTGGATATCACTATGATGAAGGAATCGGAGTCGAAAAAGACGAAAAGAAGGCATTCGATTATTATAAAAAATCTGCAGAGATGGGTAGTACTGAGGGAACATTAAATGTTGGATGTTCCTATGGTCAAGGAATCGGAGTCGAAAAGGACAAAAAGAAGGCATTTGAATATTATGAAAAATCTTCAGAGATGGGTAGTGCTGATGGAACAATTAATGCTGGAAATAGCTATGAAAAAGGAATCGGAGTCGAAAAGGACGAAAAGAAGGCATTCGAATATTATAAAAAATCTGCAGAGATGGGCAATGTTGAGGGAATTTCACAAGTAGGTTATTGTTATCGAAATGGTATTGGAACACCAATGGACATGGAGGAAGCTAATTATTGGTTTCGAATGGAAAAGAGTAAATTTCACGAAATCGTCAGATCAAAATATGAAGGTCTTGACATTGACAATGATCTAAAAACATTATTAGACGATAATAAATACCATTATCTTGGATTCCTTACGAGTTTGAAAATATTGAAGTAATCGGAAGAGGTGGTTCTGCGACTGTATATTGTGCGAGATGGACAAAGAGAATCAAAAAGAATAAATCCATTTCTGGTTTAAATTTTACTGTCGCCCTTAAAGAATTTTATAACAACGATTATTTAAATGAGGTATTTTATTTAATTTGATACGTTTTATTTATTTTGTATATTACTTTTTATTAAATATAATGTTTTAAAAGTTAAAAAGGTATTGTGAAATCGGAGTTAAAAATCCTTCGTTTATAAAATGTTTTGGTGTATCAAGAAACGAAAACGGGAACTACATTCTCGTGTTAAAATACGCAACAATGAGTTCTTTGCGTCAGAATCTTCTATCTATATTGAAAATGAAATGGAAAGAAAAGCTAAACTTGTTATTTAGCATAGCTTCTGACATTAAGGCAATTCATTCCCAAGGAATTGTTCATCGGGATTTGCACGGCGGTAATATATTGCAAGATAGTTTGCATAGTGCGTATATCGCAGACTTGGGTCATTCGATCCAATATCTAAAACGAAAGGATGATGAAGTTTATGGAATTTTACCTTACATTGCACCAGAAATTTTAAAGAGAGAACAATATTTTACAGCACCGGATATTTATAGCTTAGGAGTTATTATGTCAGAGATATCAACTGGACAGAGGGCTTTTTACAATTACGATTTTAATATCCATCTTATGAAAAAAATTTGTGAAGATTTGCGACCATGGTTTTCTTTTTGGACTCTTGATTGTTATATTGAATTAGCGAAACAATGCATGGATTCAGATCCACAAAAGAGACCTTTTGCCAATGATATTTGTAATAAACTTGGTGAATGGATAAAAAGTATAGAAGATTCTGGTAACTCAGAAATCAAAAAACAGTTTTTGTGTGGTGATGATTGTCTTATTAAACTTGTTGACTGGTACAATAATTTGAAAAGTTTTAATGATTTGTATGAAATCATTGGGCAGTCCTTTAGTGATGATGTTCTAAATAAACTTGTTGAATGGATCAAAAATTTGAATACAGACAAGTGCGGTAAAGAATCAAATGATGATCACAAATATAAAAGCAATTATCATCAAAAGAATTCGAATTCATTGTTAATTCCAATGCTGTAATGATTTTATATTATTTGACCAAGATAAATCAGTTTATTGTTTTTATACAGTATTAGGTTATTTATTGTATTTATTAATATATAATTTCCAACTTTAGAGTCTTTCAAAAATTTGTGCGTAAAATAAATATATATACAAGTAACTTAGATAAAATATTCTTGTGATATTAATTAAAATACGTATTTTTGTGAAATAATGCGCAGGGGTTCGGACCAAAATTCGAAATAACGCCCCTGCGCAAAATGAATATAACCAAATTTAGGGTCGGAATGGATGAAATTTGCCCAAAATCACTCAAAATTTTAGTGGCTAACCAGTAGCCCGTACTAAGTAAAATTTACCAGATGCTAATTTATGCTATAGTATAGTATAGTTGGCTAGTATTATTGCTTAATTCCAGCCTAGCTATGATGCATTCCGATCCTAAATTTTGGTTGCGCGACTAATCTATCTCCGAGGAAAATTTTGCGCCATCATTATGCTACTCGCTTTTACTAGCATAAATATATATATATATATATATATATATATATTTGTATGGAATCTAGGGCAAATTTTTAAGATCTTGAAATATTATATATTAGTATCTAGTTCAAAACTTTATTGCACAAAAAACATTATTATACCATTTGTTTTCTACCACTACAATTAGCCTTTAAAGGTTATTTTACACTATGAAATAAACAAACCAATAAATAAAACCTATTTCTAAATACCAATTTAACAAATTTCCCATTAACTATCATTATTATAAGCTAAGAAAACAGGTAAGATATTAGATATCCAAAGCTAAACCTTCAAAATGTCATGATTAGCTAAAAATAGAAAGAAACGCGTTGGTTAATATTAGATAAATTGATAGTCATCTGAGTGCGGATATAAACACAAACAAGGTCTACTGCAAATTACCTCATTACAGAATAGTCAACTAATGACTTCTAGCTAACTCTGAAAAGTAATTAAGTAAATCATCTATCGAAAACTCCAAAGAAATATTTGAATCTGGATAACATTTATTAATAATTGATGTAAATCTTTCGTGACTTTTAATTACTTCTCCTTCTATACTTCGCCATACAACTTGTAGTAATCCCTCTTCCTCTGTAAAATGTTTATCGACTCGTTTATACAATGAAATCAAGTCTTTTCTTATCTGTATGAAAAAAATTTTATATTATGAACATATTTTAAAGACTGTGTAAAAATTGTAATAATACTAACTTCTTTGCCGGGGTACTGTGACACAACTTTCTTTAACGCATCCTTGCTGTACTTGAGCCGAAATCCAACTTCTTCCGGTGCCGACGTTGTTCTTAATAGACTTTCTATTCCTTCAAAGAATTCCTAAAATGTATATGAATGTACATTAGCATAAATCAAGAAAATTTGTTGGTAGGCAAGAATATGATCTAGGTAACCCTTTGAAATCACACACCAACAGTTTACCGAATGGCCTTCGAACGACTGATTTGGCGTAAGCTTCTAGATGCTTATCGTACGAACTTCGTGCATATTTCATAAATGGATCAAGAGCATGTATTTTACGAGATCGAATCTCAGTATAAAAGTGGTGCATGTTTTCTATAATAAACAAGTACAACAAAATTAATATCAATATTTCAACATATGAAATATATGAAATGTTACCTAAAGTCATTATATGCGCGTTTAACTGTTCCCTGTCATCGGGGTGTGACTCTTCATCTTTTGAAATAGCTTCTAAACAATCAAACATTGTTTTAACGATCCTTTCATAACCATTGTTCACAATTTTACGTATTTCTAAATCATCGGCTCCATTTGTTGATCGTTCTATACGCTCCACAAAACGCTGTTCCAAGAATAAACATTGTGTATTTAATGGACTTGAATAATAATATTTAAACATAAGTTTTGCGTCGAACTAATCTAATTCAGGCAGATTGTACACGATTAGCTTATATGATATAAATATCGGGTCGCTAAGATGAAGCGAACGATATTAAATCATTTAAATTCAATCACTATATCATGGGTTGATTGTATATCGATTATCTTTCCTGAATTTGATCGACAATCTATGAAATAAATGTACATACTGGAAATATGCGAATGAACAGGACTATACCCTTTCGTCTTTTTGAAGTAACTTTTGTGTCTTCAATTGCTCTGAGTTGATCAGTCTAATTTTTCCACGTAGAAACAACCAATAAATATGTATATTCATAGACATACGTATAAGTCGTCATTAACAGCAAAAATGTATACTTACAAGAAATCGTTCCAAAATTTCAAGACAGTGTTTCCTAACATCTCGAAACACTTTAATTACATAATTAAAGTTAGGTCTTTCATCATCTTGTATGAGCTTTTCAATAGACACAATAATTCCTACTATTTGGCTGTTTTAATATAAAAATTTACAAATATCAGATTAGAAATTTAATATAAATTTCAAAAATATAATAATAAACAAGCAATTTTAATATTCTTACACTGCATCAAGTTTGCATCCATAATCAATAAATACGCATAATTCATCTGGAAGAAAATCGAATAACTTTTCCATGTGCTCACTTTAAAATACAAATCATTTATAAATCTCAAAATAAATTAAAAAATATATTCATATGTATTGAAATCAAAAATAATAGCTTACTATAGAAGCTTTTTATGCATTATTTCACTTTCATCATCATCCAAATCTTTAAGAAACCCTTCTGAATCATAAAGTGATGATTTGGAATCTTTTTTGGCTAGATGGAAAAAATCAGCCATAAACTTTTGTTCGTTGGAAACCAATGGAACAATAGTTCGAAGACAATGATTGAAGGACTATAACAAAATGATATCATTATTAAATATCATATCATTATTAAATATATTATATCATTATTAAACAACCACATCATTATAATTCTAAAAATTCACTATATAAGTTACCTCTTCAAGTGGAATTTTCCCACTATTATTATTATTATCTTTAAATTCCAATGCTTGTTTGGTACTATCAAATGAAAACAAACTACTCCGATTGCTATGTGCATTTGCCGCACTAAAAACTAAAAAGGCAATCACAGTATAAATTTATATAATATTGATAATCTTTTGACATAAAAAATCATGTTACCATAAGTAGCTTCCTCGGCCAAATCTCTCTTAGATAAAAGATGTCTCATTTGCTGAAGGTATTCTTTAGTCTCTTTTTTATAAATTGGTTCCTTGGCAGCAACATAAAGCTAAACAAAAAAAAAAAAAGAAAAAGAGATTATTAAATATAATCATGCAACCAATTCTTAAAGCATTAATGAATGTTTTTGACTAACCGATTGGACATCTAAATGTCGATTAGGATCCATTTCTTTCACCCATAATGATAATGTGCCATATTTAGACAAGTTACTTGTAATATAATCGTGACTTTGAATAGTTAGGTTATTATGCCGTGGCCCTCTACTTTTGTCATTCATTAAAGTATCTGCCTAATAAATAAATTAGGAACCAAATATTGTATAGTAAGCTTTGAATGAATGAATGAACAAACAATAAAAATAAATATTTTACATAACTATTTGCATAACTTACTTGGAATTGGAACATCATACGCATATATTCACAAAATCGGGAACAGAAATTTTTAGCATGATATTTATATGATTCTATTTTTTCTTGAATAGCCTTCATCTCCTGTATGGCTAAAAATAGACGATATCATACTTAAAAATTTTGTTTATATTATGAATCGAGTTAAAATATCAACATACATTTATCAAACGGAGTGTCTATTGCAAGTTTTAATTGTTTAGCAGCTTGTTCAATATTCTCAATTCCTTGAGGAGTGTCCATCGATTCTTGACGAAGAATTTTAATCACATGGTCAGGAATACTAATAGTTTGCTAATCCATGATATTTTAAACTAATCAGTGATGTTCAAAAAATTGCGATCGAAATAATCTGGTTTATAACTCACTATAAGTCGATCAAGCTCAGATAGCAAGGCCTTTTGATTAGCCGTTTGAACCTGTAGACCTCGGTTTTGAGATTCAATGTGATGAATATCTTCATCCCCCATAGACTAAAAATTATTAAGATTGGAGTTTTTTTAAAGAGAATATTTCTCGGTAACAACAGAATGATAAAACATAAAATTTCATACATTTAACTCGGCAGCGTAAATAGAAAGCCATGAATCCAAACTATCTAATTCATTAATTGCTTTGTCAATTTGTTCAATAACCGAATTAACTCTATCATCAGATTCCACCATGGCATGAATATTGGCCTGAATAATAATTAATTTAACGTCATAATGAAACAAAGCTGGACGAAAGTAAATCAAATATAAAGTACTTACAGCTTCCAATGCGGCAAGTTCATTCAATAATCTCTCTTCTAATGCTGCAGCATTACCACTTCCCTTCCAGTCAAAATCATTAAGTAGCTCGGAAACATTTATTAATGATATTTCTTCTTGCTTAACATCTTCAATTATAATCATAAGGTTTGTTAACGAATACATAAATATAAATGATTAATAAATTAAAAAATAAATAAATAAAAATAAATGTCGCAGTTGATACTGAAATTTGGAACTATTTTTTATATGAAATTTTAAAATTTTTTGGAGTGTTTATTCCTTTTTTTTTTAGGGTTAGGTTAGGGTTTAGGTAGAGATGGGGAAAATGCGCATTTTATAATAACATGCGCATTAATGTGCACGTTATATAAAATATGCATGATATCGCATGATATAATTTTTTTTTGATTTTATATTTTTCATCCGAAAAATATCGGATATTTGCCAAAGTTTTTCCCCGCCCTTCTCATCTTGATGTTCATTCATTTTCTTTTCGGAATTTTTCAAAACTTCTGCATTCCTATTTCTTAATTTTGCCTGGCATTATACACCTTGGCCTAAATTAAATATACTTTAATTTTCCTATATAAAATTTAGATGGGATAAATGCGCACGATTGAGGAATCATGCACACGCATGAAACCCATCTCTAGGTTTAGGGTTAGATTGGATATTTAAGGGATTTTTAAATCGAGCCCCAAATTTCAGTCAGCCGCGACAATAAATAAATAAACATATATATACATATATATATGTATGTATAAAATAAATCATACCATCATCCTCAGCATTGTATTTCACCATACCATTAGAATCGTTTTTAGGACCACTCGCTTGTGGATGTCGGTCATATTTTTGTTGGTCAAGGCTTGAAGTTGATTTGTTAGCATTGTTCAGACGTCCTTGCAAAGAATTTTCATTATCAATCTGGGAGCCAAGCGTAGGTTGTACCTTTGTTTCTAATTCATAAAATAGAATTTAGTGAATATTGAGAATTATACAAGACATAAATAATATAAATAATAAAGGATAATAAAGAAATTAAAGAAATTACCTGATACAGAATTATCATCAAAATTAACTAATTTTGGGAGACGTTTGATGTGTCTCTTATAAACCTATAATTTTTTTTTTAATTATTTTTAATTAGAACCTTGATAATTGGCATTTAATTAACCAGTTAAATTAAAACCTTTAAAAGAGTAGCTAGAAATAAGTTCCTCTCGCGTTGATTATCAGCCGTCCATTGATATGGCTTGTTTATTGTTACGATAAAAACGAGAGACTAAAATTTATTAGAATTTTGTTAATATTAAAATTTTTAGGAAAAGACCGATTAACTTATTCTAATTGGAAAGGTAACTTACATCAACGACTTCTAAAGCCTTTACTTCTTCCAGCGGCCACGTTCTACCGATTGAAAATGTATTATTTGCATTTCTTTTTGACTTGTGAAGGCGTACTTTGCCATTTCTCCGTACTGTGTAAAGAATTTATTGTGATAAGCGAACATAAACCACATCTTATTATGACCTTTAAAAATCTGAGAATTTCATATCACCCTAAGTTGAATGACTCAACGTTAGGATGGCTCGAGTGGGCATATGTGATAAATTCACGAGATCAATAATAAGTTCCAAGATGCAACTCACTTGAGATTAATAAATATCTAGATTTTTTTTCTACCTTAGAAAAACCTTTTTTACTAATAGTACCCGGCCGTTCGCTTATAGGAGAAGGTCCTGTAGAATCTTCTGATACCTTCAAATGAATGATTAATGACTCGCTCGCGAGTGAGTTCGCTAAGGGAACACACAAGATCAATATGATGTCTTTAAAGAAAATTTTAATTATTTAAACAGTAGTTGACAAACCTTGTGAGGGATCTTCAGGCGCCTCGGGGAAGAGCGAGTTTATGATTAACTGTCTTGTGTCGGCCATATATCATATATGTCGCTTCGAAAATGCAATACTCTTACGGACTTTTTTTTTTTATTTTTTTTTTTGTACAGAGCCACTTGTGTTACATGTATTCTTGCATAATTCCGGCAAGAACAAGATTTAACATAATTTTGAAATTACCCCGACCAATTGCGACTAATTATGTATTTCAATGAAATCAGTGCTGGCAAGGGAAAAGGCTCAAGTATATTAGGTTATAATGTGTTCGAAAATCTGAACGGCCCTTTTTTTCCCTTAACACAAAAAGTTCGCCAAACCAGTTTTTAATATAAAACGTATCTATATTAGATTTACTTGTTTCATACCCAAATTTTACTTTTTGACTTTACCTAAAAATGAGAACCTGGTTCTGTTTAATGTATATTGCAATTCGGGCACTTGAACATCTTGTTACCATTTTCTCATAACACTCGTCTTGAAATTGTACTAATTATTATCACACAGAATGACCGTTTCTTGTTTCTCGAACAATTGTAATAAAATTATCATTTAAACCAAGCTCCATAAAATATTACGACGCTATAGGTCAATAAAAGTAATTTAGACAGAAAAAAGAAAATTCACATGTACAGTATATATGTGTAGTATAAAGTATCTTGAATTCATATAAATTATAATTATGATATATATTTAATATTAATAGAAAAATTTGACCGATGTTCGAATGTTTATCGAGTTTATTAAAATATTTATTAAAAAATAATACATATAAGAAAAATTTAGTTTGCAATTGTCTGTTTTATTGTACAATGTACAGTACATGACTTATTTTGCTGATTTACATTTATATTATTTTTTAAAAATTTACTGCAAAATTTATTAATATTCTTTTCGCACTTATAACATTTCCCGCGTCTGAAAATGATATGCTTGTTGCAGGAATTGTAATAAATTTTCGTGTCGTTTCGCTTAAAATTGAAAATGCCATTTTGTAAACACCACATCATAAGACCTGCTTCAAAATCAAGCAAGACTTTTGTAGCTTCGTTACTATATGAGTGTCGCCAAGCAAAAACCAGGAATTGAGTTTTTCGAAATTAATTTACAGATCAAACCCCCCCGAAAAATGTGACTATATACTATATGTTGTGCTTAATTTAATTTATCAGGAATCGTATTAGAAAGCGGAGCCGGCAAAAATCGAAATTGCAAGTTTTCGCTTGGCGACACTCATATCATCTTGATTTTGAAAGTTTAATGAAAAGACAGATTTTACGGTGTTTTTATTAGTCATATTAGTGCAGTAATGTTAATTAGAAAATTTGCGTTATTAATAAAACGACACTATCAAAAACAATTGAATTTTATTTTAATGAATTTAAAATAAAAAAATCTTTCTAAGATACTATAACAAAATATAAATATTATAAATTTAAAATAGAATTAATACAGTATTTATTATTATATTTTTAATATTTCTTCATAAACTTCTTTTCCTACACGAAAGAAAATAATTCAGCTCATCAAGTTGTATTTCTTATGCTACATGGAGTCATGATATTATAGATAAACCAATGAAAAGTCCCTATACAGAACCAATACTTAATAATAAAAGGGCTAAAACTATATATATATATTTGCAATATATTGATATAGCGGTAATAATAAAGTAACCAGATTAACAAAAAAAGGAGACTTCTCACTCACTGAGACCTGAAATTTGGAACCGGTTTAATCGGTTTTAACATATGAAAAATAAAAATCGGTTCCAAACTCTACCGGGTCCTAAAGCATTAGTCAAAGATAATGAGTATACGTATCGTAGGACTGACTTAACATATCACGAACAAGTTCTTCCTGTAAAATACTGTACGCGCTATAGTAATTGGGTGCTACTGTTTTTATAAATAGTTTTCCTGCCGACGACAAAATTATTACTGAAGTTTGTTGGGCTGGTAATGATAATGTATTACTGTATTGGTTAGAGTTATGGACCTTGTACGTACAGATATTGTCAAAGAATCTCCATATGCAAGAGGCATGTTCATGGGCTTGAATCTGTATAAATGTTATAAATTTTTTATTTTTTTTTGCGCGTATCTTTCTGTATTATCATGAAACGCGTAAATTCTAATTTATAGAATTACTTATACGTATAATTATATGTATACTAATTTTTTTAAAAAAAACATAATAGAAGATTCCATTGATGTAAATCAAAAATTCTATCAACAAATATCGAAAATTTTATTTTTGTAGAGAAATTGCGAGGCAAAATTTAAACGTGTCAAAATTGTTCACTCTGTTTTAAAAATGATCTCTTAATCAATGGTTAAATTTCAAACATTCCAAGACTGACTTTAAGGCCATTCAAAGAATTAGAGCAAGTAATTAAGATTGTACCCTGATAGAAAATGTCATTATATAGAGAATTAGTATGAAACTCAAATAATTTTGAGCTTCTATAATTACTCAATACGCAATCAATTCAATTAACGTTTGAAAATATGAGAACACTGCTAATAGTCAAAGACAATTTTGCTACAAGCTTGGATCTAAAAAAGACCTCAATTTTGCATGTGAACTATTTAGTAAGACATAAGATAGATAGTGGAGATCCTTTATAGCTATAATAAATTATCGGGTAATTTAATAATACTTTGGATACAATCTTTGTTAATAAAGATTGAATAAAGGTGGAAGATAAAGACGAGCTCATAAAAAATTCTAGATAATGGATAGTTGAAACCCATTTTTGCAAACATCCAATCTGAGGATGGTGGAGACCATGTTGATAGTGGAGAATTCCCAATTCTAGCCTAATAGGTAGAAATGATGCGAAAGATGGTAATTTAGTTATTTTGTAAATAACCTACGATTATAAGTAGTGCTGATCTATTTCTTTTATTTTCTTTAATAGAACTACACGTACAAAAATTGTAATTAATTCATCCAACTTAGGGCTTTGCTGATCTCGTTATAGAAGAAAATAAAAAATTAAAAGAAGAAAATAACAAACTGAACGAATTATTCGGCGACAATAACCAACGTGTTCATTAAAACATCTTCATGCAGGAAATAATACTTAGTAATACTTAGTATTAATGTGTTAGAATCTAGAATCTATCTGCCCCTGCTCTATACTTCTTTAGTATGTTCCTGCCGACTTTCTTAGATTACTTTTTTTTTCATATATTGTAAATATAACAAACATTACCCCCCATTCACTTTACCTCGTCGACGAAATAGTTGTGTCTAGACCTTGGTGTCGAAAACGCACTTTTGTTTCACAAGTGTTTTCAGGAATCGTACATACATTCGAGCCAATTTTCTCAATTTTCTGCATTAAGTTTTTTTATCAAATATTTTTAAATAATTTGCAAAGAATTTTAAATGGTTCACTGCTTCTAAGAACAACATCTATCGCACAGATAACTTTTCCGAATGTTTGATTAAAAGACATTTTTTGATTGCGGAAGTATAAGTCCGATCATGGAATATCTTTCTCCGGGCTTTGCTTGATTCACCATTGCTGTTCACACCCCTAAAATTTATTTAATTTTAGGGCACATTCTTTTAATCCGTTAATCAACTATGTTATCAGTATATCATAGTACTAAAAAAAACATAATTATTTAAATTTTAGGGTTGTATAGCTCGGAGATCATGCAGGAAATAGTCATGAGTGCGCTTAGCATGCCTATCACTAATGTTTTACAATTATTCGATATAAAAACAATCAACACATGTTTGTCGCATATGAAATCATAGTTCCGAATCTATTTAATAGTCAATTTTTATTTAATCCCTTTTTTGTATCTGTTTTTTTTCTCCTTTAACACGTATTTTTTACATCTCTCTTCATCTACTATTGATTACGATGAATATTTCCTCTATTCGTTATGCTAACGGATACACACCGTCGTTTCATCAAAAAGCGGCGCCAACTACAGGTAAACTTTAATTACTAATATGGTTGTCAAATTACCGTTTTAAAAAATATGTAATGATATACGAAATTATGCAATGCAAGATAAATTCTGCCAATAAAAAATCGCTATTAAATCATATACATACTGTCTACGTAGTAGAATTATATACTAAAACTTTATTATATTTGCGCATTTTTCAATTTTTTGAATATATATTAGCTATGAGTTCTACTAAATACTCTATAACAAATACAACTAAACGTTCGCCGTCAAAATCACAGCCTCTTCATACTGCTCCAATTATTCCTTCATACATAAAACAGGTTTTGGTTTTGGATTCGTTGAATGATACTTTTGGTACAAAACGTCTCTCATTACAAGAAGGTATACCAGTCAAGATCGGTAGATCAACAAACAGGCAAACAAGCCCGGCTGAGGCAAATGGGTACTTTGACAGCAAAGTGCTCTCAAGGACTCACGCCGAAGTTTGGTTTGAGAATGGGAAGGTACACAATTTTATATATGGAAGTGAAACACGTTTGTTTTATGGAATTACGGTGCTTTAGTCATGAAAGTGATGGATAGTCCGGTAATAGTATTAGGAATTAGATAATTAGAATTTAATACCTGTAATGTTATCCGAAAAATTTTTTGGTCGATAAATAGTGGGATCCTTTATAAGACTCTTAGCATTCGTATTTCTTACGTATATTTTGATGTGATAAAATTTTAATATTGGAATTTTTGACTCCTATTCATTATTAGGTTTATGTTAAAGACATGGGATCAAGTAATGGAACGTTCGTAAATGGAAGGCGCATCAATTTTATAGAGAATAAGGATGAAAAAGTAGAGTTAAGACAACGTGATATTTTGGTATGCATTTAATTATATTTCAAACTACATCTGTGAATTTCGCTATTTCTCACTTTTGTGTTTTATATATTGTAGGAGTTTGGCATTGATATCTACAATGATCAAGATAAAAAATTGTTGTTTCGTAAGGTGTGTGCATCAGTCAGCTTCCTTAAACAGTATAACAAAAACTTAAGTACAAAGTACAAATCTAATAAGTAAGTTAAATAGGTTTAAAATATAGTATATTTTTTATATATTTTATTAATAATATTTTAAATATCTATTTAGTGATTCGGCCAGAGATGAGGTATAAATACAGAAATATACTATATAATTTATGATCTTAGTACCATTTTAAATTTTTAATAAAATCTAAAAAATATTTTACAGGATACGGATGATATAACAAAATTCGATTTTAATTTAAACACAGGGTTTTCTATTTATGATTTTCTTGAGGTAAAATAATTATTTATTTTATAATTTCGTTCAATTTATTTATTTATTTATTTTAAATAATATTAATTATTTATTTGTTGCACCTGCAGAAAGAATTATTAAATTGTAAGGAGGAATATCAGCGATTAAATGAAATGAGTACGACGCTAAATGATATAACAAATATTTTTGATAATGCAGATAAGGTATGATTGCTCAATATTTGATTTGATCGTCATTTAAATTATTGCGTAATTAATTAATTAATTAATTAATAATTATTATTATATATAGGTATTAATAACCAAGACTACCAATGGTTTTTCGAAACGTGAGTCATGCTCTGAAAAGGATAAACTTGAAAAATTGATGGATAATGTTATACATAAAGAAAATCGTGAAAAGAAAATTGAACCATTTACGACAAATATAAATGGTTCATTTAAAATTTCAAACGATAGTTTTTTTGAAGATTTAAATTATAATAACCATGATAATAAAAAGACAATAAAACCACAATATGATGAAATTAGTCGTTTAAATGAAGAAATTAAACGATTCAATGAAAAATTTGAAAATCAAGCCCACGGTATTGTTTTAAAAGATTGTGAGATAAAAAGTCTTCAGGCGAATAATAGGCGTCTAATTAATGAAATTTCCAGAATTCGTCAAGACCTGGAAAAGTCTAATGCTAACTGTAATAAGTATCGTGAACTTATTGAGAAAGAGCAAGCCAAACACAAGACTGAGACTGAAAAGCTAATTTGTTCGCTCCAAAACGAATTAAAGGATTCACAGAAGACTAATTCTATAGTGAAATCATTACAAACTCAATTAGAGGATTTCCGTGCTATTAATGAGCTATTGAAAAGGAATTATGAATCGATAATAGAAGAAAATAAACTATTGCGTGAAAATATTCGTAGAGCTGAGTTAGAAAAGGGGACACAATTGGAATTTGTAAAAAAATTGGGTCACGAGATTGCAATGAATTCTGGATTAGAAAATGATTTATCAAAATCTTCATTACCTCAAGTGAACCGAAACGGACATTCAAAACAAATTTCTGAACCAATTAAAGATTCAGAATGGACAGGTGATAATGATGAAATAATAACGGACGAAATTAACGATAATAAAGGTGGAACTATAGAAAAAAGCAAAATAGGTTATTCTTCAAATATTGTGAACAAGCATGGTTTTAAATTGGTTAAAACGTCAATGCTGCAAGGTATTGATGCGCCAATGGATAATGCGGTGATGTCAATTAAACAAGAAACTATCAATGGTGATCTTACTAAAAATAAGTTAACCAAAAAATGTTCACGGACGATAGTAATGTCTTCGAAAGGAAGAGGTGTCAAAACCACAAAGAATGAGTGCATGACTGAATCATCTGATAGTAATCAGGTTGTGAAAAAAGTTAAAAGTGAAATAAAGTCGGGAAAAGGAACTCAATCAATAAAGGTAATTACGTTTCTTTTAATAATTAAAATAATTTCTCATTTGATTTGGCTAAGTATATGGTGTGTTTTACTGCACTTTATATCACGTTTAATCAAATAAAACACCATTCTTTTGTAAATAGAATCGATATATTAAAAATTCTTAAGATTATTTTTACTTACAAATATATGTACTTATTTTTCTTTTTTAAAATCTTTATTAGAATGTAAGCTTGACCTGGACTGTTGGTTCTTTGTTGTAAGTATATCTCATGATGTTGAATCACAAAATTCTATTTCATACAAATGGCCAAGCATCGCTAATGTTTATAACATTTATATTGCCACTTATGTTTTTGATTAATAGGACTTTACTTTTCTTACATTCTATGATCATCATATTTATTCAAACCGCATTCTTCCAGAGTCGATTCCCATTACCATGGTTAAATTCACCAACTTATAATAATTCTTCACTATTTGAAATGCCAATTTTGAATTCTTCCTTATCCAATTTGTTAAATTGGATTTTGTCATGGTTTAATTTATCACCAAATTGGGGTTCATCGACTTGGAATTTACCAATGACTGATATTATATCTTGGGATGCTTCAAGGATTAACGCTGAAGCGTTAAAAATAGGAGCAACGACTTTGGAGGTTTCAATGGGTTGGGTAGTGTATATACTATATGGATATTTTGTTTTAGGTTCAATTTTGGCATGTTTTGTGTGGATTTTTTTGAAATACATTGAATAATTATTTATCATGCGTTTTTGGTAAATTATCAGGGGTGGTGATAGGAACATTTGAAAAACTTTCTTTTTTTTCGTTTAATGCTTTGTGTAAACTTTAATTTAGCAAATTTTAATTCTATTTCCGATTTCAAGATATCAGTTTATATTAATTTATTCATGTTCAAAAAAAAAAGCTATTAGTTTTAAAATTCCAAAAACATTTTATTTCATTTTTAGAGGGACACTTATTATAGACATTATACAATATACAATAGCACAAAAATTACTTATTTAAAAGAATTTGAATCAAAAAAAAAAACATTTTAACTGGTTGGGTGGAATTTCGTAATAGGTAAATTGGTTAATAGTTAATAGCATTGATTGTTAATAATAATACTTAAATGTGTTTATAGTGGTATATTTGTGTGTGTGGTTTTTTTTTTTTAGTATGTACAGAAAATACTATTGTACGGACATTTCTAATACTAAAATGTTTAAAATATCATTGCGATACGACTACAGTTCTGTATATAAATTTTTTTTTAGTTCGATTACATATCATTTCTGAAAATTTGCAGGCAAATTTGACCGAAAGGCTAATTGGACGCATTTTATTCGAATGATATTTTGAGCAATCCTTTATAATGCATCTCTTTTTAAATATGTGCGCGTTTATGGAAGGCATTTTACCATGAGTTCTATAGGCTTGAAATTGAAATTTTGGAATGCCCTTTCGAAGATATACACGATGCTTGCAATGGAGAGCATTTATGGAAGAATGACTTTAGTTGGCGAGTACTTTAAATTTAATAATTTAATGCAGAGAGACCTCTTTAAATGCACAGCACAGTCTGGCCCCAGCTTATAATAGCACTATATATTTTGCTCTCTATAAATGCACGCCCTCTCTAAGTGCACATTTTCTGAATTATTTTACTATGGTCTCGAGGGGGTGCATTTAAGGAGGTCTCTCTATATCCATAATATTCACTGTTATTTTTACAACTCTGTTCTAATTATTTTAGGCGTTGTTAATTTAATTTATACAATTATAATCTATTCAGCATCTGTGATTTATATTTAAAAACTTGGAATTTACAATCTCATTTATTCATAGTTCAAAGTTAATGCTTAACAATGTTGCTCAAGTAGTTTTCGTATACATCAACTTAATCTATGAATACTATTTAAACTTGGAAATTAATATAAAAAGGTTTAGAATAAATATGTACATAGTTTGATTTATCAAAAGCTACTCAGATAAATAAATTTTTGTACTAAATACATTGTAAAGTGAGTCTTTAAATTCAAAATAAACTATGACAAAAAAATAGTTACTATCGTATTTATACGTTAATAATTACTACGTTCAAACTATGTCAACCCAGAAAGAATAATCAAATCCATTTCATTAATTTTAAAGAGTTGCTTTCGTTCAATACATTAAAGCCGCAACGCTCTTATGTGGAAGAAAATTTTACCTTTTATGATCTTGAGATTGATGAAAAAACACCCTAAGAAATTTTTCATCCAATAGCGACTTATGAATTTTACTGATTTTATTGGTCGATTATCGACCACCAATCTACAAACATCTAACTTTATTTAGTACGTACGTATGTTTTTGGATGTGTTATTTTAAAACGCGTCGGCAGATAAAAAAAAAAAAAAAAAGGTATACCATTTATTTTCTCGTCTTCGATACTACAGTTTCTCTGATACACTTTTTTCTTTTGATATAATTTTATTACCCATTTCTTAGAGTCTAACAGAAGTGCTGTAATATCCTTAAAGGATACTTTGTGAATATCCCAACCAGAGGCATATGTATTTGATCCCATCTATTTCAAAGAATGTCGGAATGCTCTTTAAGAACATTACAATATTTATTTGTTTGCTTATTTTTTCTTCTTGTGCTCCTTTTGAGCTGGTTATGTTTTGGCAACATGAACCTTAATTAAACCAACAAGTATGGAGTTTACTAATTTGTTTGTTAAATATATAGTATGTTTTGCACTATGCATTATACACATATAATGTATTAAATATGATCAGCGATGTTGTGTTTATTTATTTATTTATTTTTAACTTGCCTGTTTTATAATATTAGATACATGATGACACTTATAGTTAATCGATTCAATATTGGTGGTTATGATAACCTCTGGTAAGTGCTTTTTTGTATAGTTTTCTTCAAAGAACCATGATTTGCTGAATATGCTTCAATTAAATAAAAATTTTTAGGAATGAAATCTTTGAATATCTTAAAGACACAGAAATGGTATATTGATTGCAATTCTATAATTATAATGGAAATTTGTATTTAAATAAATTTTGAACTACAGTTTGTACAAGAAGCTTGGTTGCTACAATTAGAACAAAATGAAATTAATAAATCTTTAAAATTTCCTTTGGAACTTTAAGATGCAACCTTTTTTGAAACAACAGAAGATTTTTTTAAACTTTTAAAGAATATAAAACTAAAAAAAACCAGACAGTTTCTTCCTTCACACCATGGAGCTTTTATATATCAATTACGAAAGATAGCAAATCTAGAAGTACATGATACTCTTAAAAAAAAAGCAAACAATAATAGAAGAATAAAAACAGAAAAGTAATTAACTAATTTTTCTATTGAAAATTGCCCAGGATATTAAAAACAATCATTCATTTTGTGGAAATAATCATGCTTTATGGGCTGCAAGCATACTGTAAGATTTGAATCCTAATACTTCTGTCTATTATTGGTATTATTATATATTGCTAACTTTTGCATGCTATAGCATCCAAATCAGAACAATTAGGAGTAACATTATGACTTCGACAACAGATAAAATTTTATAATCGAATGAACAGGTTTTTTTTTAACTTCTTAAATTGATTGAATTTCTTAAATTTTTATTTTTATTTTTAATAACATTTAGGCTGCAGTATTCTATTAACTAAATGATAGTCTATATATCGATGAGTTAAACAAGTAACTAAATTGATAAATGACAAAAAAACAAAACCTGGACTAGAAAAAGTCATTTCCAAGAACTATAAATTCTCCAGAGAGATAATTAAATTTTGTATTTTAAATTTTTTAAAAAAAAACTTAATCAAATTGAAAAATATTTATAAACTACAAAGTTGTAGAAAAAAGGATAAATTACTAAGATATAAAGACAAGGATGAATTACTAAGTTGTAGGAACAAGGATGAACTACTAAGTTGTGGGACAAGTATGAACTATAATGGTGTTCAAAGTGTAAGGTGATTGGGTATAAGACAAATTTGCGGTTGTAATAATGATATCTTGATTACTTTTTTAATTATTACTTTCTTTGAATAAAAAAGGCAAAGAATTTTTTAGAGAAAATTGAGTATGCTTAATCCTCAACTTATTAAAAGAAATATAGTATTAAGGTTAGGAATCATAGCTTCGAATAGGTGAAGGCTCTAAGATCTGGGTTCAATGTTTAACTTAATCGGTTCTTATATATAATGATTTTGAATTTATTAGTACTAAATATCACATTTACACATATCTATCTATTCTCTTAATACATGTAATAAATTTTTGTAGTATATTTATAAATTAGTAAACTATCATAGTGATTTTGATCAGGTTAACAAATTTACAATAATAATAAAATTACTTAATAAAAATACACATGCCTTAATATAAATTTACATTAAATGTCGCGGATGATCGTGAAATTGGATGATTCTGAAATTCACGTGATCACATGATGATCTCTGCTATTATATAGTAAAAAATAA